TAATCTTTTTAATCTTTTTAATCTTCAATTTTACTGCTTGCAGTGTTGCAAATTATAAATACAAATTGGTTTAATTTTTGTACGTATCATGTAACAACTGCAGACAAAGGAATGAAAAAAAATAAATCAGGAACAACTCTGAAGTTATAAATGCAAATCTTCGGTACTGGTGTAGAGGTAACACAAGTGGCAGAATCTTTTTGTATAATTGCACATGATTTATGTTAATCTAAAAGTTATTCTAAAATGTATGTAGCCTGACCAAAGCCCACTGCAGACAAAATTCACACCCCCCCCCTGCATTCCTCCTCCTACATGCTCAGAAGGAGAAGACACATCCTCCTCTGCTGTATTCTCCAAATTTTAAACACTGCAGCTACACAGGCACTTTTTGGAAGCGTGGATTTAGCTTTAACAGTTTGCATAGAAGATTTTAAGCTGAATATAATCAGGTGAAGCTAAAATTATGAAGATCTGGATAGACTATATTCATGGAGGTTTTCTTTTAATTCTTAAATGCAAATGTGTGTATATTTGTTTTACAATTTCGGCATAAGAAATACTCTGAATAGGTTAGAGTCAGTATATCTCCAGTTATGGAGAAATCAATTGCTAAATTAGTAGTTTATAATTTCATTGTTCGGTTAATTATAATTGATCAGATTAATTTTTTCAGCCCTACGCATTACTTTTGCCTACAAAAACTGCGTGCATCAGACACAACATGCTGGCAGACACGCTTAAAGGACAGTTTCATTCAGCTGCATGTGCGGCATAAACATCTTTTACAGTGTAAATGTTACTGCATCCACACTGACACATGCAGTTTTAAGTACAGCTGATTCAAATGAAGTCCCGTCTCTTGACTGAGCAGCAGTTACCTTCAGAAACAGCTTATGAGGCAAATACAGGAGTGTTCTTAACCACCTGACCCTCTCTGCATGCAGCCAGAAGAGGTTAATCTGGTAGAATGGCTGTGAGACACAGTGCCTTGGTTATATTCAGAGGACATCTTTCCTCTAGAGACCAGAGTCAGAGCTACCAGCCTTTAATGACTTGGGTAATGAAATGTAAGCGTCTGATGACTGCTCCTTAGTGGGATTATACTTCATTTATCCTCACATATCTGGGGTGAAGTATGAGACATTGAATCTTGATACAGGTGGATTTTTACCGTAATTTGTTCACCTCTTTAGCTCAGACTTGCTTTGTTGTCTGTCTAAAGATGCACTGCTAAGCAGTTTTGCTCCCACCAACATTATTCTTGTGTTTCTAGCAGACATGTTGTTCTCCATATTCCATAGGCTGTAATAGATTCAATTTGGTCGAATAAGAACAAAATATCTCCCTTAAACTGCAGAGATTTTAAACTTCCCTTTTTTTTTTTTTTTAAATTGCCTTTAAGGCCACTTTTTGACGTGCACGACTTATGGTTACCTTGTCTGCCAATTACCCAAGCTGCATTTTCCCTTTTCTTATTCTCAATTCCCATATAATTAATGTTGCTCTTTAAGATATTAAAACATGTGAAATGTAAAATATTCAAAGGGTAAAAATATCTTTGTGTAGCATTATTTTCCTTGTCTCCTCCTACATTTCTAATTGATGATTCTTTTGTGTCAGGATTTGTTTGAGGGTTGTGGACCCAAAAGCAGAGGCAGGCAGGCAGAGGTGAATTTATGCTAGATTTAATTAAGAATAACGAAAAAAAAAAAAATCTAAACAAACAAGAAACCAGGAATCCAAAATTCAAAATATGAAAAATAAGTAGAAAACATCAGTAGATCAAGACTCAAGGAGGAAGGCTCAGAGAGACGAAGTTGGACGGTGTCTGACGAGGACCCAGCAAAAAGGAACTGAAGAGAGAGGGTTTTTAAAGGAGACTGAGACAAAGAGAGGGCTAAGGAGGAAACTGGGAGCAGGTGTGCACAGAACAAGAGAGGGAAAGAGCTAGGGAAAAAGGAGAACATAAGAGGGCAGCAAAGAGCAACAAAAAGAAACCTGGAAGACTGGAATTAACAACAAAATAATAATTAAATTACTAATTAAAACCAAAGAACACAGCAAAATAAAAAATATAACCACTAACAATAGAAAACAAGGAGTAAAGCAAGACTGAACACTAAAAAGAAAATATAACAGAACAAAGACTAAGACAGAAACTGAGAAAAGAAACAAAGAACTCAATAAACTAAGAATTACCCCACTAAAACTAGAAAACAAGGAGCAAAGCAAAAGTGGATACTCAAAAGAAAAAAATAACAGAAACACAAACCTGATATTTTGATTGTTTTTCTTTAATTTTTGAAAGCTAACATGCCAAAGATTTTTGGGTTTCTTTACATCAGGAGTTGCTGCGATCACAAGTTCCAGTGCAGGCCTCCCTTCAGATTCTGCAAGAACTTGGAGAGCAGCTTAAACAACAGGTGGACACCTCGGCAGCATCTGCTATTCAATCAGACCACCTCTCTCTCATCCAGCGGCTTGCTGGGGTGGAAAAGGCCCTCAACAGACAGCTCACCACCTTGCAGGTACAAAACTAAATCTATGCCAGATTCCTGCTCATTGTGTAAGCACACAGTCTTTCAATCAGACTCATAAATGTTACATTTGTGCATGCCTTCCTTGTATCAGACTGGAGTTCAAGACTTTGAAACCTTTAATAAACAACTGGAGTCTTTGGGCTCCTGGTTAATTGATGCTGAGGAGGCTTTGAGAGCACAAGATCCCAACGGCTGCACTGAGCTGACCGTCATCCAGGACCGTATGGAGGAGCTCAAGGTTTTTATAGTTTGTTTCTTGTTGGATAAAACCGCCTCTGGGCAAATAGTGAAGATTCAACATATGTTTTCTTTGCATTTTTCAGAAGCTCATGCTGAAATTTAGCAGCATGTCCCCTGAATTGGAGCATCTTAACGAGCTTGGTTATCGACTCCCTCTGAATGATTTGGAGATCAAGCGAATGCAGAACCTCAATAGAAGCTGGTCGGCAGCTTCGACACAAACAACGGAGAGATTCAGGTATGTGTGCAGCATTCTGCTTACATTCTGCATCATTTTCTCTAAAGAAAATTTGACTAAAGAAAATATTGTGATTTTAAATAAAAGGGGAATGAAAAAAAAAATCACTTTAATTGTTTTATATTTATAATCTGGCAATTTTTTCTTTCCTTGCAGCAAGCTACAGTCAATCCTCCTGCAACAACAAACCTTCCTTGAAAAATGTGAAACATGGATGGACTTCCTGCTGCAGACAGAAGAGAACCTTGCTGTAGAAATTTCTGGGAACTACCAGAGTTTAGTAGATCAGCAGAAAGCCCATGAGGTTTGAGTCCGTTTCATGTGAATGGTCACAAGGCTATGACTTTTTTTTTGTTTTCATGGCAATAATTGCATTTTTCTTTCAGTTATTCCAAGCTGAAATGTTCAGCCGGCAGCAGATCCTCCATTCTATTATCAGTGATGGACAGAGGATGTTAGAACAAGGTCAAGTGGATGACAGGTGAAGGGCTTTAAATAATGTTTTGGATGTGGTTTGATTTATTTACAATGTTAGCTCCAGTATTACCTTCTAAATTTTATAGTGAGAGATTATTTCTTAATCGTATTAATTCTCCTGCAGAGATGAGTTCAACATGAAGCTGACTCTTCTAAGTAACCAGTGGCAAGGCGTAGTGCGACGTGCTCAGCAGAGGCGGGGGATCATTGATGGCCTCATTCGTCAGTGGCAGCGCTACAGAGAAATGGTGGAGAAGCTGCGCAAATGGATTTTGGAAGTCTCCCATCCTGCAGAGATGCTTCAGGCAGGAAATACAGTTCCTCTACAACAAGCTCGCTCTATGCTTGACGCTGTTCTGGTACGTTTTAACCCTCATTTAAATTCACAAAGGTGTATAGTTATATTTTAGTCACATTTCAATCAGAATTCAATGTCTTAATTTGGTATTTGATGTAATAGACCTGCAATGCAAGCCGGACATGTAGAGAACCCAATATTCAAACCTGACATGGGGTTGGGCTTTGAAAGGTTTGATAACAAATACTTAGTTTAAACAGGAAGCGTCTGAGAAAGGTGGCGCCTAATGATGCTGAAAAACAGCAGCTCATAACAGAAGATTAGATTAGTAGAATGGCTGTTGCTCAATCTGAGTCTGAAAAATAGGCTTCTGTCATGCACAGAAAGTCCAATACTGGATAGGCAGACAGATTCCTTCCTCAGTGCCAGCACTATTCAGCCAGTCCCTATTTTGGCGCACTTAGTTTGGTTAAGTGTCCTTACTTATTTGATTCAGGATGAACCATGGTAAACAGGCATGAAACGCTGAAAATCTACTACATTAAGGCTTTCAATAATCTGGCTGTCTGCACCGGGCCTAAAAAATTTAAGCAAACGGGTGTTTTAGATGAGCTCGACTAAAGAGAAGTGGAAAGACAGTCACACACCTGTGGTAAAGCCTCTATAATTAGATGTGTCTCTGTTTCAGCACACTTCACTTCACTTCACTGCATTTCCTCCTCAGCAGGTTCCAAGGGCTGGAGATGTATGCTAATCGCCCATTTATTTAAATTAGGCGGCTTGCTGTAGGGGAACACTCTGTCTAACTTGATGGATGGTATATAAATAGGCCATACACAGTAGAAGACGTACAAATCAAATCATCTCCCCTTTCTCTTTTTTAAAGAATAAACTAACATTCTGTAATGACATAATAGCTTGACATTATCAGGAAAGCTAAACTTCTGGTTTTGTAATTTCATTAGTTTTAGATTTTATTTGTTTTGTCTTTTAGTTTCCATTCACTTTCACTAAGGAATCTCAGCAGTCTGCTTTAGCAGTCTGCTGTTTGGTAAATGACCATATTATTTCTTTAATTGTCCCAGAGCCCGTCTTTAATGCTGCTGATCTTAAGCTGAAGCATCTTTATAGATTTTGTGGACCTAACTACATCAAAAAGGGAATGGTTTTCTATTAAACAGCAAGCAGGCAAGATGCCCTGTCTCTGACCAACACAGGGAGCTCCTAATTGAGAGGAGCAAAAAAACAGCACTATCTATCCTGTCTGGAGGTGCTAAAGTCTCTGTTACAGCATTTGTCCAATCTTTGGACTTTTTTCTTTCTACAAATATGTAAAAATTATAGTTCAGCATGATGTTTGGGATTTATGGGTTTAGTAACCTCATGAGAATCCCTCTTTTTGCTTAAGCTGAAAGAAAAGGTGCTGCAGCGTCAGCAGGGCAGCTACATCCTGACGATAGAGACTGGCAGACAGCTACTTCTGTCGGCAGACAGCAGAGCAGAGGTGACCTTGCAGACGGAGCTGACAGACATCCAGGACAGATGGAAACAAGCCAGCACATGCCTAGAGGAGCGAAGGAAACAGCTGAGCTCACTTCTGAAGGTAAATTAAACAGGGTACCTTCTGAAGAGAATCGTCTCTGGAGACTCTTACAAATCTACTTTTTGCTCACATTATAAATTATATAAGTCCTGAGTTATTACTTCTTATCGGTTTATGTTATTGGTTTTTCTGTGTATTTATATCTATATATAGGACTGGGAAAGATGTGAGAGAGGAATTGGAGGATCGCTTGAAAAACTCCGAGCCTTCAAACGACAGCTTTCTCAACCCCTTCCTGATCACCATGAAGATCTCCAAGCTGAACAGATGCGCTGCAAGGTTTCATTAAGGCTGTTTTTAGTCTAGCTAAAAAAAAAACTACATGTTGAAACTGGAAACGGGTTAAATGCAAATAAATGCTCTGATGTGTTCCTTTATTAACAGGATTTAGAAAACACATTTGAAGGCTGGACTGGAGATTTGGCCCATTTGACTCTACTTAGAGAGTCTCTGTCCTGTTATATCAGTGCAGAGGATCTTTCTGCTCTGCAGGAGCGTATTGAACTTCTGCATCGACAATGGGATGAAATCTGCCATCAGGTACAGTCTTCTGAAAATCTCGTATATCTCTTGTATATGCTGTATCTTTAGGTGATTAAGTTAACAGATTTGTTCATAAATGTATAAGATCTCTTAAATTAGACATACTTTTACAAGAAAAGAAACTAAAAATATACCCCAACCCGTTAATTAAGAAGATGTTGGCTTTTTAACAGAAATTGGTTTTAGCTCATTTATTTTACTCTATTTTATTTATTTCAGTATTGTTCTGTATATTATAATTTTATTATTATTCTTTTTTATGGATCTGTTCAAAACTTTGAACTATTGAGTTGAGCTAAGGAAAGTTAGTGAAAGGTTTTAGGAAGATGGAAGGAACATTAATCAGCTCTCGCACTGACTTCAACCAATCTTACATAGGTAGTTAGTTCAGTCAGTTTGCCGGTTGGTTATATCTATATATATCTATATATATATACACATATAAATATAGATATATATATATACGTGTAAAACACTACTTTGCAATAAAGCTTTTTCTGATTCTAATTAGTAATGAATATTGTCCCTGTATTCCCTCAGCAGACCACAAGATGTTGCTAAAGTCAAGGTGTTTTTCTGTATCTGACTGCATACAAAGTTAGCATCATCGAAGGCAGAAAATGACTGAAACCTCAATATTTCTCAGCGTTGAGATGCTTCCTGTGCTTCGTAGATAAATGCTTTTACAGGAAGCACAGAAGCACACACACACATTGTGAAATGCATGTAGCAGTCTTGTTTCAGCGGTTTTTGTAACGCTGCTTCCTTTATGGGCTTCTCAAGTTCGTTTGCATGTTTTAAGATACCGTGTTTTTATTGCTATTATGGACTAAGTTGTATCGAGTAACTTTGTAATGCTGTGTTTGTGCAGCTCTCCCTGCGCAGGCAGCAGGTGAGTGAGAAGCTGAATGAGTGGACCGTTTTCACTGAGAAGTACAAGGGGCTCTGTGAGTGGCTCACCAGCATGGAGAGTAAGGTGGCGCAGAATGGAGACATCAGCATTGAGGAGATGATTGAAAAGCTCCGCAAGGTATGGAAGGGCAGACATTTATCAAATGCATCATTTATCTACTTATTTATACTTCTGGAACTAAGACTGACAAGTAGAATATAATATTTTTGATGTTCATCTATTTTGTAAGATATCTTTGCAGCTTTGCATTTCTGTATTTATCAATTTTTGCAAATGCTGATGTTTTGTAATGTGTATGACTCACCTGAGATCAACATATTTGGTAAATAGTTCATTCTATTTTTGTTTTACTTTTGCATTTCCTTATATTCTTGAATTATATTTTAGGATTACCAGGAGGAGATAACAGTTGCAGAGGAGAA